GACTAGGGAATCGCAGGAGAAACAATACAACTTTACAGCAAAACCCTGACTAATACCAGAACAAAGGGTAAAACGTACTCGGTTACTAACGTAACCTCGGTTCTCTCTAGAGAGGGAACGATTACTGCGTAATAGCTTACGCTAGGGGAAAAACTCTTTTCCACAAGATATTGAAGCCAAAAATTATCCTTAATTTTTTATTGATGTAAAACGCTTTGCAGCAGCAAGCAGACATAGGCGAAACAGCTCGCGCGCCTATTGGCTGCTCTTGCGGCAAATCCAGCAGCCTATCGAGAGAGACTCTGCGTGACGTAATGACCAATGGGGGCAACTCGCGCCCATATCGTCACGTCCCGCCAGAAAGGGCGTGGTCTCACCCTATAAATATTCTCGTTAGGCTGGTACAAGCTGGTTTTCATCGCCGAAGCGAACCAGAGCGTGTCCCAAGCACGGCAAGATACGCAGTACTCGTTCCCTCTCCCTCACAGGGATCCAACACCAAAGTCCCAGGGGCCGAAGCCCAGGGCTCATGTAGTGCATAATCACCATAAACTCACATAGAGTGGAGGAAGAGAGGCTGGAAGCGTCATTCCTTATAAAAAAGCACCCAGCGGGGATATCATATGACAATAAAACGCGCAGCCAGGGTGAAAGCTTTCAGCCTGATCTGGGTGGCCATACGTGTGTCAACACTCATGGGGCTGCAGTAAACTCAGCATCTGGGCTGCACAGCGGGGCAGATAGCACTGAAGTTTAGACCGCCAAAAGCTTAGCTTGTAAGGCGGGTACCTCCAGGTTATAGTATTTTATAAATGTAGACAGCGAGGCCCAGCCCACGGCCGTACAGATATCTTGCAGGGAAACCCCGCTTGACCATGCCCACGAAGAGGCCACGCCTCTCGTGGAGTGCGCTCTGACACCCAAGGGGCACTGCAGGCCCTTTGCAGTGTAAGCGAGTGCAATGGCATCCACTATCCATCTGGATAGGCTCTGTTTTGAGGCGGCAAGTCCCTTGGAATGCCCGCCAAACAAAACGAAAAGGGCAGTGCTGGTCAGCTGCATCAGGGCAGGGAACCACGTCTGGTTTGTCCAGAGCGGAGCTACGAGCAGCACTGGGCATCCGTTTTCCCTGATTCGTTCCAACACCTGAGGCAGGAGCGAGACAGGAGGAAAAGCATATAGGGGGCAGCGGGGCCAAACATGAGCCAGCGCGTCCTTGCTTTTCGAGAAAAACTCCGGGCAATGAGCGTTTTCGTGGGACGCGAATAGGTCCACCTGTGCTCTGCCGAACGTTTTCCACAGCAGCTGGACCGTCTGCGGGTGCAGCGACCACTCCCCTGCTGGAACATTGTTCCTGGACAGTCTGTCTGGTCCCACATTCAGGTGACCAGGCACGTGCGCTGCTCTCAGTTAGAGCAGGTTGTGCTGAGCCCAGACCAGGAGGCGTTCCGTCAGCCTGTGAAGGTTTCGTGACCTGACGCCGCCCTGGCGGTTTATGTATGCCACCACTGACATGTTGTCCGACCGGACCAAGACGTGGTGGCCTGTTACCTGGGGACAAAAACGCCGTAGCGCTTTGTCGACTGCTATCATCTCCAAGCAGTTTATGTGAAGGAGCTTTTCCCGTTCCGACCACAGGCCGGCTAGCGGTCTGCCCTCGAGCAGTGCTCCCCACCCCGAGGTGGAGGCGTCCGTAGACACCACCTTCACACTCAAAGCGGTCCCCAGACTCACACCTGACTGGTACCAGTCGGTTATTTTCCAAGGTTCCAGAGCTGAAACACACTGAAGGTCGACCCGCTGTCCATGCCCTGGGTGGAACCCACGCTTTCAGCCACATCTGCAGTGGGCGCATGGGACGAGGTGCTAGGGACAGGCCGAACGGCAGGACTGTGTATTGATATGCCTGGCCCTCGAAGGCGAATCTCAAGAATCGCCTGTGATGGGACGCTATTTGTATTTGGAAATAGGCGTCTTTCAGATCTATTGACATAAACCAGTCCCCGTGGCGCACTTGCGCGAGGATTTTCCTGGTCGTAAGCATTCTGAACTGGCGTTTCACAAAACGGATATAAATCCGATCTTCAATTCCCAAGCTATATGCAGATTTAATAGAGTTCACGTGAGCTAAAGCAACAGATATGAGCTGCATTTTATTGAAAATCAGCTTATCTCAAAAGCAAAGACCGCAATAGGAGTGTCACGGGTGTGGTGCGGGCAGATGAAGAGGCAGCAGTCAACAGATCCAATTCAAATAAAGTTTACTTTTAACAAAACTCAAACAGGTACTGGCAGGCAAAGGGTACACACAAGATAAATCTACGTGACACAAAACAAGAACCGACGAAGACAGACTGAACACAAGCAAACTAAATACAAGTCCAAATGAACACTAACGAGGTGAAGACAGGTGACACAGATGATGATGACGAGGGACAGGTGGATAATGAGGGAGTGAGTTCAGGTGACAAAAAGGATTCTGGGGAGTGTAGTGCAGACGAAGCCTGTGACAGAACGCCCCCCTTCAACAAGGCGCGACCTCGCGCCGTAGAACATCAAAGGGGTGGGGGGGCGGGCGCCCTGAAGGCTGGCCAGGGCGTGGCCAAACTGGGAGGGGAAGCCTCCAGGGCGGATCAGGAAGTGCAGGCGGCCAGTGCGGAGCAGGACGTGCAGGCGGCCAGGGCGGAGAGACCCCTTCGGGTGGCCATGGCGGAGAAGACCCTTCGGGTGGCCATGGCGGAGAAGACCCTTCGGGTGGCCATGGCGGAGAAGACCCTTCGGGTGGCCATGGCGGAGAGACCCCCTCGGGTGGCCATGGCGGAGAGACCCCTTCGGGCGGCCACGGCGTTGAAGACCCTTCGGGTGGCCATGGCGGAGAGACCCCTTCGGGCGGCCACAGCGTTGAAGACCCTTCGGGTGGCCATGGCGGAGAGACCCCTTCGGGTGGCCATGGCGGAGAGACCCCTTCGGGCGGCCACGGCGTTGAAGACCCTTCGGGTGGCCTATGCCCCCCCCCAAAAAATTATTGGGGAGAGTAACTGGATGTGGGACAGGCTGGGCAGACGTGACGTGAACCGCCTCAGGCTGGGCAGACGGGACGTGAACAGTCTCTGGCTGGGCAAGCGGTGAGGGCTCTTTGCTGGACGGGACCAGTGGCGAAGGCTTTGAGCTGGGCGGAACCAGCGGTGAAGAGGGTTTTGATCTGGGCGGAACCAGCGGTGAAGAGGGCTTTGAGCTGGGCGGAACCAGCGGTGAAGAGGGCTTTGAGCTGGGCGGAACCAGCGGTGAAGAGGGCTTTGAGCTGGGCGGAACCAGCGGCGAAGGAAGCTCAGGGCTGGACGGGACCAGCGGCGAAGGAAGCTCAGGGCTGGGTTCATGGGCTGTAACGAATGTGTGTGCTGTCCACACACACAAAACAGCCATGGATCCCACAAGGAGCACTGCGTCCTCCAGAGCTGGCTGGACGGTCTCTGGCTGGACGGTCTCTGGCGCAGGATCAGCGGGCTCTGAATTCCGGATGATGATGGGTGGCATGGTGAAGATGGCTGGTGTGTGTGGTTGAGTGCTGATGTCATCTTCAGCCTCACCTACGGTGAAGGTTGAGCCACTCAACCACAGCACATAATCCAGGTACTGGACAAAAGTGCCTGGGATTGCTGCCGCTGGAGCTTGTTGGTACAGAAGATCATCTAGTCCGCACCAGAATACGGTCTTCAGGACGTCCTCTGCGGTGCGGGCAATCTACGAGGTGAGAAATCAGTAGGAAATTTTCCACATACTTTTCGACCGCGCGGCCCTCCTGGAAACAATGAGTCAGACGATCAACAGGGTTCGAAAGGAAGCGGCCAACTTCCATGTTTTTTCTTGGTCGGTTCTTCTATCACGGGTGTGGTGCGGGCAGATGAAGAGGCAGCAGTCAACAGATCCAATTCAAATAAACTTTACTTTTAACAAAACTCAAACAGGTACTGGCAGGCAAAGGGTACACACAAAATAAATCTACGTGACACAAAACAAGAACCGACAAAGACAGACTGAACACAAGCAAACTAAATACAAGTCCAAATGAACACTAACGAGGTGAAGACAGGTGACACAGATGATGATGATGAGGGACAGGTGGATAATGAGGGAGTGAGTTCAGGTGTGGAGACAAAAAGGATTCTGGGGAGTGTAGTGCAGACTAAGACAGACAGGTGCAGACGAAGCCTGTGACAAGGAGAGAGCGGCAACAGCCCAGGTAAGATAATTTTGTTTCTTTACTTTTAATGAATATGATTGTGTGTTAAGCGTCTACAACTTTCACTTTGATTTGCAATAGTTTGCACGTTGGCTTGAAGAATAGATGCTCAGCTGCTCATCTGCAGTGATGTGTGCTGCAGTAGCGCCATCATATCTGGCTATAACATGACATATAGCCTATAACACGTACTCACACGTTTATTTTTTAGCATTGTTGGGAGGAGTACAATTAACATATGTGGTTTCAAAAACCAGATGCATTTACACTTTGGAATGGTGCCCAGACCACCTCCTGAAGTGGTTTGAGCGATCGGATTTAAATCTGTCTCAAATGCGTTTCGGAGGGTATTTACACCTGGTCTTTTCAAGATCGAATAGCTATCGATCACAGGAAACGCATGAAGTGGCCAGGTGTAAACAGCCCCAATGTGACGACCTCCTAGTGATAGTAAGTCATATTTGCTCAAATAATCCGATTTATCTATGCCATTTGTTAAATATGGTATCTAATAACATATTTTGTCTCTATTGATAGGCTTTCCACAGACTGGCACAACTGGCTTGATACCGTTAGCCACCAGATCTTTCTTTCCAGGTTGCCTGGGAGGCGAAGAATCTAAAGTACATCAACTAGTCACAGGGATACCCTAAAGGTCAGTGTTTTGACCCCTCCTCTTCTCCATATATTCATATGCATTACTGGGACCTATTTTACAGGTGTATATAGATTCTCCTACCATTGCTACTTTTCATTACAGGCAGACGATCTGACGGTAGCTGCGTGGATCTTGGACTGCCTGGTGAAAATCTCAGCATGGATAAAAGACCATCACCTGCAACTCAATCTACAGAACTACTTGTCTTCTTAGCTGACTATTCAGCATAATTTCACCGTCTCGCAAGGCTCATCAACAATAATTCCATCCAGATCGTCCAAAAATCGTGGGTAGTTTTTGAAGACCAGCTGACAGTCAGAGACCACATTGCAAAGTCAGCACGGTCATACAGGTTTGCACTGCACAACACCAGGAAGATCAGCCCTATCCAGACAGCCGAATCCCTGACAATATTCAAGAAACAGCTGAAAACGCATCTCTTCCATGAGCACTTAATGGTATCCTGCTGACTCTTCAATAAAAAAAAAGAATAAAAAATATATGTTATGCTTTCACTATTAAATCCTCCTAGCTTGTACTAGCCTGAATAATGTTTGAATCTTTGTTAGCATTTTGTGTGTTTATTGCCTCCTTGAGATGAATCGCTTGTATTTCTTTGTAATTTGCTTTGGATAAAAGTGTCTGCTAAATGAATAAATAACCAAGTTTTGTCTCGATTGTCTCTATATAGGGGGAATGAAATTAGAAGTATTTCTACCTAATAATTTATTTTCAAATTAAATGTTTAAGTTGAACAAGCATATTTTTTTTCTAAAAACTGTATTTGATCAAATTAATTTGAACCAACTCATTCGGCCTTATTCAGAGTAGTGCCATGATTTTTAGCCATTGTCAGAGATTACTGATTGTACCTTCAAACCACTTCAACCTCCCTCTTTAACTGCTCACTCCCTGTGTCTTCTGTGCTCCTTCAATCAACATTTGCATGCCAGGTCATAAGGTCTGATTCTGACATTCATTACACAGGGGGTGATTTGCCTGTCACATAAACAGAGTAAATCCACACCTAGTAGCACTAACCTGCAGGTGCATTGGCAGACAGGTGAGCCAGGCAACCAAAGGCACCATGTTCCCCGTGTTTTCAGGAAAGTTATGTCAGTTTCTTAGCCTAACTCGGTTACCTTCTATTCTGTTCCTTGGAGTTTTTTATGTAGCCTATGTCCTTGTTGGAGGGCTGGTCTTCTGGAAACTAGAAGGATGGTATGTGTTGCAACAGATTGATCTTCTCAAGGAGAAAAGAATTAAACTACTCGAGAAGTACCCTTGTGTGGGTCAGAATGGCCTCCGAGAACTAGCAGAGGTATGAGACTAGATTTTCCTTAACTACATGGTACATGACTTTTTGTTACAGTGCTTGTCTTATTCCACATTAACAGCAATAACAATGATGGGTAGATACAGTGAGCAAGTGCTTGGACAACTTTTTACATCATTTAAAATGGATGTGTGGCTTCTATGGTTCATTCGTAAAAGGAAAAAATACTCTTTTGGTGCAAAAACCTGAATTCAAACTTAATGAATCACTTGTATTCATTCAAAATAATTATTGCTTTTGGACAAAAGGTCTTTGAAACAAAACTAGTGCAGAAAATAGACAGGGCTACCAGTTTATTTTTGTATAAACTGCATTATAACTGAATGTCCAGTTTATAACAATGTATAACTGAATGGAAATATATTCATGCACTTCTTGTTGGTCTATTATTGAGATTATTTAGATGGTTATTTTATATTTTTTTTATTTAATGAAATGACACACTCAGTTACTGTTTCTTATTGCCATTTCATTCATTCATTGGTTGTCATCACTGTCTCAAAGATGATAAAAGCAGCGTCTGTGAGTGGCTTGAGTCCAGACAGTAATGACACCGCAGATGGCTTCTGGAAATTTACCAGCTCATCTGTGTTTGCGGCGACAGTGGTCACAACTATTGGTGAGGAATTGGGAAACTTAACACCTTGAATTTGACAGTCCAGTTTAATTTGGTTTGTTTTGTGGCATTCATTCATTTGGGTAAAGGTTACACAAAGTGTTTTTCTTCTATTCTTTCTGCAGGCTATGGTAACATCATTCCACTGACAACGGCTGGCCAGATCTTCTGTGTGTTGTTTGCTCTTTTTGGCATTCCCCTGAATGTAGTGATCTTAAATAGAGTTGGAAAATACATGTTGGCTATTGAGAGGAATTTTTGCAATTTTCTGGAGAAAAAAATTGATCGAGGGGTGAGAATTTAACTCCTTTAATCTAATCTAATTTAATTAGATATTAAATATCTAATAGATATTTGTTTAAAATAAGGAATTAAAATTGAAAATGAAAATGTTTGACGTTTACCCTTGACTGTGCCCATGACTCTGTTATTTCCCACAGAAATGTGTACGAATATCCATTCACAGTATATCCTTCGTAAGTTCAGCGTTACTGTACTTTTTGCTTCCTATGTTGCTCTTCAAAGAATATGAGGGATGGAGTTACGCTGAAGCCATTTACTACTGCTTTATAACACTTAGCACTATTGGATTTGGAGATTATGTTGCAGGTAGGAGACCACACATACAAAAATTAACAAACATGCTCTGATGCTCTTGTGCTCACATCATTGTTATCGGTTATGGGCTTTATATCTACATAATAGCAGTTGTTTTTCTATCATTAAATAAAGCCTTCTTTTACCTCAAATGTAATTATATTTTGTAATTATTCTTGTAGCCCTATATTCAGGAAGTGACATCACTTATTTGGGTGTGTGTCATTCAAAATTGAATTTGAATTTTCCTGAATTTGAATTTTGAATTGAGGTAGCAAATAAGATGCAGAAGTGTAATTCAAATGTTAAATATATGTATTTAAGGCAATAGGAGGAAATTCATATTATTGTTGTACGCATAGCATTTAATAATGCATTATACACATTATATTTAATAATTTAACATTTATTTATAGTTTATATATGATGGAACACCAAGAAAGTCTTCAATACAGAGCTAAACAGTATTTAATAAGATAAATTAGAAAAATACATAATTGGTTGAGAATGTACTCTACATATCAGGGTACAAACAATTTTGTACAACTATTTGTTTTGTTTTCTTGCTAAACTTGAGTCATCGTCCTTTCATTACAATTCAACTTACATTCCAAAATTCAATTTGATTTCAATTTCAGAATTTTGCCCTAACCTGATCATAACATCTTTACTACTTTGTTTCTCCTGCCAGATCACAACCCAGCAATAATCTACCCAGAGTGGTACAGTTGTATGATGGCAGCCTGGATATTCTTTGGCCTGGCTTGGCTGGCTCTTCTAATCAATCACTCCATTGATTTACTGGAGACTGTGAATGCTTACCTGAGAGGAAGGAAGGATGCACAAAATCAAGTGGAGGAGCCCAAAGAACAGCCGGAAAAAGGACTGAAAGTGGAAGAAACATGATAATTGAATTTAAAACAGGAGGTGTATGAATAATACTGTAACTACTAATCATCAAACAATGTATGGGTAATTATTAAATCAGTTATTCAATGTTTAAAGTATCCTTAAATATTAAACTGAGCTAAAGGTCAGTGAGCAAAGTTTATTGTTAAAACCATCAAGAAATTTGAGCATCACTTGTCTGACTGATAATGGGTCTCATTCACTAAGCATGCGTACGCAAGAGTTTGTGTGTGAAATCTGTGTATGAACGTTTTCACGAACAAATCATGATTCATCAAAAACGTTCGTTCTAAAATGTATTCTAAATTTACAAAACATTTTGGAACAACTGAAACCACTCGTACGGAAAAATCACACACACACACACACACACACACACACACACACACACACACACACACACACACACATAATCTAGAAATATATTTAAGTTTAATATCTATGTTTAAATGTTCATGTGTAAATGTTTATAAGGCCATTAAGAGTATGTGCTATATATATATATATATATATATATATATATATATATATATATATATATATATATATATATATACATATGGTACAACGAGGCTAAAGGCACACCTTAAGAAAATAATTAGCTTTTCACTCCTCCCAAAGTGCATGATTGCATAACTATATGTTTTGAACATTGATGGAGCAATCAATTTTGTGTGAAAATCATAAAAGTGGTTAATTTTGTTAAAAAATCTTTTACATGTATGAGGTGACGAGGGGGGAATATGGTTTTAATAATTAATTAAAAATCTAAATTATCACTTGTTCAAAACAATCACTTTAGCAAAGTTTGTACTATTTTCTGTTTATTTCGGCAAAATAAAATAATACATTTTTTATCAATAAATATACTGTCATCAAAATATGTTAATATAACAATGGAAAATGGAAAAGTCAGACATTTATTATCATGTTTATTATTGTGCCTTTTGCCCCGATAGCAGATATGCTTTTTACCCCAAATACCATACTTTTTACATATTCTTCCGTTATTGAAAAACTGTTGCTTTAATTACCTTGAACAAAACTGAAAATCATTAAGAAGACCTTTGTCTCAAAATATAAACAATAATTTAATCGATTTTCATTTGATACTTAAATCTACAACATTTTTAAAAAACCATCAAATATTAGATCAAATTAGCGCAGAATCAACTTTGCGCTGCTGAAAAGCGGATGCTGAAGTAAGCAAAAATTAAGCAAAACAAACAGATTTCACTACTTTCACTAACTTTCACTAACCGTCACGTATTTGCACAGGAATCTCTTAAGTGAGAACGAGAATTTTAAAGCTTACAGGCTTCCGTACGTCGACCGCTTGCAGCATCTTCTGGGATTTCCGACGGTTCGATTATCTTTAGGCTGCATTCCAGTTCGTTTTTTTTATGCCCTTCCCTCGCCAACTTCCCTCAGTCTCGTTCACTCGGATGTATGTCATTGCTTACGTTGCACGAGTGTCCACTACTGGTGGAACCCTGGCAATGTGCTGAATTGGAACGTCCTAAGCCTAAACTTGAATCCTCTATGGAGTTGATATATTATTTACTTTAGTTTCCCTTACAAATTGGTTTAATGCAGCATTCTATATAGGTGTGTTTGGGTTGTTTTAAATTTTAAAAAATAATGATTAATATATCATAGAGTTTGTAGTGTTGGGAAATTAAGCCCGATATGTGATGACGTAACAATCACGTTGCATTGTGGTATATGGAGCTGCCTGAAGTGTACATATGAAGCTTCCTCTGTCAAAATCAAGGGGTTGAGGGACTGTCCATATAAACTTCACTTGTCCACTTCATGAAGTGGAACGCACTTCAAAATGGTGGCGGGGATTCCCCAGAGGAGAAGTGCTTAGGGAAGTGTGTGTCTAAAAGTGGAGTGGAACGCAGCCCAAGTCTGCATTCGATGCATCCTCGATATTAAGAACACATCTGGGTACTTTCATGCATCCAATATATTCACGTTCTTGAGAATTGGAATTGAACTTCGGCGGTTGATGATGACGTAGAGCGAGAACACAAGGACGCAAGATCGCTGAAGAATGCATATTGAGAAACAGCCGAGGTTATGAACAAATTATTGTGTGTACACACACACGTGTTGTGAATTAGGCGGAAAGTTTGAAAAGATCAAATGTGCCTATAAATATGAATAGCATACGCAATTATTAGTAAATGAGACCCAATGTTTGTTTTTAAAATCTCACTGGTTCGCTGAAGATTAATCGTTGTCACGCCACAAACCAACAGGTCCCTAAAATTTACAATTGAGAAATAACTATTTTCTTCTAGAAACAAACTTTGTTGCATTATTTTCCTGTTATCACTGTAAAGCTGCTTTGAAACAATCTGTATTGTAAAAAGCGCTATATCAATAAAGGTAACTTGACTTGACCCCTATCACACATCAATAGCAGTAAATGTGTTTTGCAATAGAACCTGAACACAAGTACATACCTAATTAAAAGTACATACACTGTAAAAGTGATCAGTTGACTTAACTTAAAACTTGACTTAAAATTATTAAGTAAATAAACTTCATGCGTAATTGAAAAAAAATAAGTTATGTGGAGTTGTCAAGTCCACGAGGGTTCTACTTCTTTCTATGTAATTCGTTCTACGCACCTCAGACAGACCAATGACGTCCCAACTGAACCTTGTTAAGGTGGTCGACAAGTAATTCGAGGCTTCCATCCTTCCAAAGTGTCCTTACGTTCCATGTGCCGAATGACGGCGGGTGTTTGGCATCAATTAGCCTTACCACATCTTTGTTCCTTCCCTGTGGCCGATTTTTCGAAGTAGGTCCCATGGTTGCCCTAGACCTACGACGGGGCGCTTGTTTGACCAGGCAACAGCCCAGATGGCATTTTTCTCTATTTAGTCATCTACTTATGGTTGTTTCTTGTGGGTTGTTTCATGAGGTGGTTTCACACTACTCTCCTTGCTAGCTAGTTCTCTAACGCCGTTGACCTCATTGTTAGGTCCACCGTTTTAGATAGCTTTTAACTATCAAGGACTAGTGAACTAGACAAGTTACTTAACCGGCGCCGGTCATTCGCCGTTTAGGCTCGGTTTAACGTTGTGAGCTGGACATGTTTTGAGAACATGTAGAAAATACACTTAAAGTTTATTTGTTTCACTTATTAATTTCTTAGTCTATTTGTTGTTGCATACATGCACGCTGTAGTCACATTTTTTATATTTTGTTGAGTTAATTTTCATCAATATTCTGTTAAACTCATGCTAATTTAATGTCTACACCACCAAGTTAAACTGAAGCATTTCGTAGACACATTTATCCAAAGCAACCTACATTATATTCAGAGTATATATATTATCATGCCTTTCTGGGGGATTGAACCCATGGCCGTGTGTTGTTAGCACCATGCTCTACCATTTGAGCTGCAGGAACGTTGTTGTTAGGAAGAGCCGGTGAAGCTGGAGACCACCATGGTAGAATGGAAGGAGCAGGAGACCACCGTGGAGGAGACAACGGAGGAGGAGCCCACTGTGGAACTGGCAGAGCAAAGGGGATGGAAATCCACTGAGGATCCTGAGGGGTTATTGTCCATGGCAGAGCCAGGGAATCAGAAGACCGAAATGGAGATCTGTAGTGGATCTCAAGAGTCATAACTCTCTGCCGGAAGCCCTAACTCTGGCTGGACGGGAGACCGTGGTTGCACCGGTGGAGCCGAGGGGCTGAGGAGAGCCAGCAGAGAAGGAGAATGAGGATGAGGAGGAGTCAAGCGGTCTGATGAAGTCGTAGAGGATAGAGCCCTGGGTGGAACACAGGAGTTTACAAGGCTTTGATAAGATCAGCGGAGAAAGAAGGGCTAGGGTTCTAGACAGAACCAAACTGGGCGAAATTAGGAGAGGAGAAAGGGCTTTGGGGGTGGGAAGTAGCTCCAGGGCAGACAGGGCGGCTGGCACAAGCTCAGTGACGGAGGCAGCAGGCATTGACAGTGTTGTCATGATCTTCCTGTGACTCACCTATTAGCAGAGCCTGATCCACATACTGATGAAATGTCCTTTGAGGACCATACCAAGACAGCAGTGACTTTTGTTTAAACCCGCTCTAAAAAAAACATGATAATGGAATTGTCAGGGAAGTGCACTGATTTGGCCAAGTGTAAAAACTCACAGATCTCCCTGGGTGAGGAGGAGGAATTATACATCTGCTAGATCTATACTATGGTCTGTTCCTCTGTCACACTGGGGTGAAGAGAGGATTTAATTGCTTGCTGTACATATTATCTCTTAATTCAAGGAACTCAGAGAAGGAGAAAATAAACCACCATATAATTTTAATGAGTACGGGCAACAGGGAACTCAAACATACTAAAAAATAACAAGGAACTGAATAAGGAACTGGTGGTACTTAATAACCATGGAAACAAACAAGGGTATAACAAAGCCACTAGAAGACAAGCCTGCAACATTTAGCCAAAAAAGCGTACAGCTAATATTAATGCTGTGGCGGTACGAATGGATGTCAATGGAGAGGAGGCTTCACTACACTGAATAAACCACTTTTGTGAGGAAATAGCTCATCATTTAATGAATCGACTGCTTGTCCACTAATCTTCATCATGTTTTAGGCTAAATAATACTTTTGTTGGGAATGATGTGTAGATTTTACTATGATAAAAAAATTATTTTATAAGAGAAGGCAGATAAGGGAATGTTGAGACAGGTAGGAATCATTTACGGCATAACGACTATTATAACTGTATGTATGCATATGACGCTGATATTATGCATTTTAATGAATAAAGTGAAAATTAATAATTTAATTATAAATATTGTGTTATATTGTATGTTGTTTAATTAAAATAAAACATGGTGTTCTTTCTATCACTGCTAAGTTATTCTTGCACTTTAATGATATATGACTGCTGTGTGTCTAATGATGATGATATAATGCTTTTTAATGAATGATGGTTAAAAAAACATAATTTTAATTAATTAAATATATATTAAATTTATATATTAAATTACAATAAAGTTTTTAGTGTAATCTTAAAGGTTCTCTAAGCGATCCTGGGTGACTTCTTGTTGACGTTCGAACTATTGTCAAACAAAACGGAGGCTAGCTAGACCCTCCCTCCTCC